GGAGGCATATGGATCATGTGGCACAGTCATAAGCTAACTATTACTGGCATATCTCAAACTTCACAGTTTATCCATTGTGAGGTTAATCTTCTAAACGGTAAATCTTTTGTTTTTACGGCTGTGTATGCAAATCCTTCTCAAAATATTCGCAATATTCTTTGGGAGAATCTCCGGTCCCTTAGTGAGTCCATATCTGGCCCATGGATCCTGGGGGGGGGGATTTTAATGAAATTGCCTTCATTCATGAGAAGAAAGGAGGTGTAGTGGCTGATCCTGTCAAGTGTGCACAGTTTGCGTCTGTTCTTGAAGATTGTCATGTTGCTGATTTGGGTTGTGATGGCTCTGTTTTTACCTGGCAGGGGCCCAAATGGGCTAATATGAGCAGAATTTACAAGCGTCTTGATAGAATTGTGGCTAATGTGGATTGAAGAATGATATTTGATGATGCTAGAGTCTCATCTTTGCCCAGAATTCTGTCAGATCATAATCCTATCCTCATTAAGTTATTTGAAGATTCTAGAGATAAAGTCAAGAGGCCTTTTCGTTTCTTTGCAGCCTGGCAAGAACACCAGAATTTTAATGAGTTTCTGACTTCTAAATGGGATACTGAATTTGATATCCCATATATGCTTCAGAGATTAATTTCTGAGATTAATAGCTGGAATCATCACGTGTTTGGCAACATTGATAAGAGGAAGAATAGCCTGCTTAAGAGGATTGCTAACATCCAAAGTAGACGTGAAAGAAACGACTCTTCTCAGTTACAAAGTGCAGAAAACCATTGTCAGGAGTTGCTTGTGAATGTGCTCCATGATGAGGAAATGTTTTGGTTTCAAAAATCAAGACAAAAGTGGATTACTGATGGTGATAGAAATACCAAATTCTACCATCTCAGTACTGTGGTAAGGAGGAATACAAATAAGATTCTTAGATTGAAGAGTGAGGGGGATGCTTGGGTTACCCATGAGTCTGATCTAAAAGATATGGCCTTTAATTTTTTTAAGGAGCTGTTTACTGAAGATATTCAGGATAGAAGATGGATCACTTCTGCTAATTTATGGCCAAATCTATCAGTGATGGAAAAAGATGGCCTTGATAGATTCCCAAATGAGATTGAAATTAAGACAACATTGTTTAATATTGGTGCTTTTAAAGCACCAGGAACAGATGGGTACTCAGCTTGTTTCTTTCAGAAGAATTGGCAGTTGATCAAAAATCAAGTTTGCTCTATGGTGTACCAGATGTGGACTTATCCGAATCTGTTGGCCTCACTTAATTCTACTCTTCTTGTGCTTATTCCCAAAGTCCAGAAGCCAGTTCAGACCAATCTCTTTATGCCCAGTGGTGTACAAGATTGTTAGTAAGATTATTGTTAGCCGTCTCAAAATAATCATGGAGAAGGTGGTTTCTCCTGCTCAGGCTAGTTTTGTGCCTCATAGACACATACAAGACAATATTATTGTGGTTCAAGAGTTGGTGCATTCTATGAAGAAAATGAGAGGTAAAAAATGTTTTATGGCTGTTAAAGTGGATTTGGAAAAGGCTTATGACCGGCTCAACTGGAAGTTTATTCGTAATGTGCTGATGGAGATTCAAATTCCTAGCCATCTTGCTGATTTAATTATGGTGGCTGTCTCTTCTCCTAAAACTAGCATTCTATGGAATGGGAGCTTGACTGATGAATTCCAGCTGAGTAGAGGGGTTAGACAGGGAGATCCTCTATCCCCCTACTTGTTTGTTCTAGTAATGGAGAAGCTTTCACACATTATTCAAACTGCTGTGGATGGTGAGTTGTGGAAGCCAATCAAGGCAGGTAAGAATGGGCCTAAAATCTCTCATCTATTATTTGCTGATGACTTGATGCTCTTTTTGGAAGCTAGTGAAGATCAAATGCTTATCCTTTTGAGATGCTTAAACTTGTTTGGCGAAATTTCTGGTCAAAAAGTTAGTGAGGAAAAAACTAGTATTATTTTTCTAAGAACACTCCTAGTGAGACAGCAAATAGGATTTTAGAGGTGAGTTGGTTTAAAAGGGTTTCAAACATAGGAAGATACCTTGGTGCTCTGATTCAACATGGTAGAATCACAAAAAATTCCTTTGCTGGTGTTGTTGATAGAGCTAGGGAGAAACTGTGCAGTTGGCAGTCTAAAACTTTATCTCAAGCAGGTAGGATTGTTCTTTCCCAATCTTTTTTGGCTGCTTTGCCTTACTACCATATGGAATATGGTATGGTTTCGAGAGCTGTTTGTAATGAATTGGAGAAGTTTCAAAGGGCTTTTATTTGGGGTGACTCAATTCATAAAAAGAGGATGCATCTTATTGTGGGATACTATTTCCTTGCCGAAGAGTCATGGGGGTTTAGGTATTAGAAAGCTCTCAGTCATGAATGAAGCTTTTATTGGTAAGTTGGTTTGGAATTTTATTACTGATAAGGACAAGTTGTGGGTTCAGGTGTTGAGAGCAAAATATGGTATTGGTACTAATATTCAAGAGGATTTCTATTGGAAAAATGGTAATTCTCAACTTTGGAAAGCCATGTGTGAAGTCTGGCATAAGCTGAAACATCGATTGGTTTAGGAGGTGGGGGATGGCTTATCAATTAACTTTTGGGAAGACAAATGGCTGGACCATGAAGACAACTTAATGAATAAATCAATTTTTCTGATTCCTCAGGAAGAAATTGGAAAAAAGGTTAGGGAGTATGTGACGGCTGATGGGTTATGGGATTGTGAAGCTATGACTAATTTCCTTTCAGATAGCACTATTCAATCAATTCGAAGTGTTCTCCCTCCTCAACTGGATAGTGGTTCTGATGGGTTTCGGTGGCATATCAATGGTTCCAATGGTTTATCGGTGAGGCATTTGTATAGTGCTTTACTTAATCAAGATGGTGAGGAGGTTAATGCAAATGGTGACTGGTCGGCTATTTGGAAGCTCAAGATTCCTAGAAGGTTCAGTGTTCTTCTTTGGAAAATTGGCCATAATAGGATGCCAATTCGCAGTTTGCTTGCCAAGTTGGATATGTCTGATCCAAGCTGTCCCCTTTGTCAGCTGGAAGAAGAGACCGTACTGCACATGACTAGGGACTGTATTAAAATGAAAAGGTTGTGGATGGAGTTACTTAACCCTGTTTTGTATGATTTGTTTTTTAATGCAGATTTGGCTTGCTGGATCAACCTGAATTTGAAGAATGTAGACTTGCTGCGCTCTAATGAGCAATGGCCCATTGTTTTTGCTGTCACAGTAGCTTGGCTTGGAGGTGGAGAAATGAAGTGGTCCATGGTGAAGAAGCTAATTGGTTGGCTTATAAAAGCCAAACGATCTATCAGCAGGTTCATGAAATTTCAAATGCTTGGCTGATGTGTAATAATGGTAGGATTAATAGAAGATCAGTTTTTCTTCCTGTGGGCTGGTATCCTCCGGAGGCTGGTTGGATTAAAATCAACATAGATGGAGCAGCTAGATTTCCTGGGGGTGAAGCGGCTTGTGGGGGAATCTTAAGGGAAGAGACTGGTACATGGATTAACGGCTTTGCTTATCATATTGGTAAGTGCTCAGCTTTTGTAGCTGAGCTTTGGGGTGTTCTTAAAGGTCTTGAAATGGCTTGGAGAGGTGGCTGGAGGCGCTGCTTATTAGAAAGTGATGCTATTTCAGTGATCACTTTGCTCACCAAAAATGGAGGAGCAGCTCGAGAGTCCCGATTGGTGACTCACATTCGAGCATGGTTACAAAGAGATTGGGATGTTCAGCTAGTGCATGTTTATAGAGAAAGTAATGGATGTGTAGATTGGCACTCTAAATATCCATTGGATCATCCATCAGAGAGTACTTTTAGTGTTTTTCACTCCCCTCCGAGTGGGATTCTGCCTTTGTATTTGGCTGATTTTTCTTTTGTTTGCAATTATCGTAGGGTATTTGTAAACTGATCTCTTTTGCTTCTTGGGGTTTTTAATCCCTTCTTATTTACCAAAAAAAAAAAAAGAATTTATATGAAATCTTATTCAATAATTAAAAAAATTTAAAAGAAGAGTGTAAAAGACCCGTTTTTAACATTTTTTAATAAACCTTTAAAAATAAAAAAAGGAAATAATATTTTTATAAATCTGAATAATACATATTAAATGAAAATAGAAAAAATAAAAATAAAACGCATCTTAAATAATTAACAATTTTAAGAATCAAAATTGATCTTTAAAAAGAAGTAAAAATAATTTGGTAAATATAATTGAGACTAGGGGTGTTAACGGGTCGAGCCGAGCCGAACTTTAATATTAACGAGTCAAGCCTGTATTTAAACGTATCAGACTAGCCTTCTCTGGTCTAGTTTATTTACAAAACCCCATCTTTACTTTGTCTTTGCTTTACTTTGTCTTTGCTCTTCCTTCTAGCATTTTGGTCCAAATTCTAGGTTTTTTTTTTGTCATTTTTAATCTTTCTACATCGCCCGAAATCGGAATGTTCATCTTCATATTCCATGGTGAAATGTTCATCTTCATAGATCCGGTCGCTTTTCCCCGGTGACCGTGCCTCCGTCTCCGGAATCATCACCACCACTTCGCTCTGCAGCCACCACACCAGTTCGCCGTCCACGCCACTGTTGCAACTGCAAGTACAAAGAAACGACATGGCAGCAAGTTGCCAACAACCCATCTCCACGCGGACCACCCCGCTTCAGAGCAATCGAGAGACATGGTAGCAAGAGAGATCAAAACCATTCTTTAATTTAAAGGCAAATTTCCTAACCGACCATAATATAATTCAAGAGTACAAAGAGACGACATAATCAATTAAACGCCAAATTTCTTATCATTTTTGGGTTCCTTAAAATGTTAACACTGCCATCAATCACCACAAATCATGGTCATTGAGGAAAAGTGCCTCGAACAAGGAAGGGTCGGAATGGAGACAAATATGTTGGGTCTGCGTTTGCTGGGTTAGGAGAAAGAGAAGAACTTTTGAATAATTAATATAAAAAATAAAGATTAACGGAAACGGCCGGAAGGCTTTAAGGCCGGGCTTTTCATATACAACCTGAAGCCTTTTAACTAATTGGACTTTTACATGAGTACAGATCTAAGCCCAACAACTTATAAATGCAGGCCAGGCCGATGGAGGCCAGGCCCAAGGCCCCTGACGGCCCCCTCGCCTTATTATCACCCCTAATTGAGACCAATGTGGCTGAGGGCATGCCGACTATTACTTTCTTGGTGTTTTGTTGGAATGGACCTCATACACTTATATACACTACTGCACTCATGCCCCCAAGCTCTGTAGAATATATCACAATTCTCAAATACTAGAAATAAAAATATAAAGATTTATGTTGTTTACTTGAATCGAAAAAGCATATAAATCTCACCACAGTGACCAAAATCTATCGAGGGTCTAGCTCAGTAATTGAAGCCTCATTAACCAATTCTTGAGCTGATTCATTTGCAGATTCAGTTGATATTGTTGCCCTTGAATTATACTCCCAAGATTGCACGTGTGGAAGGCTTCCAGTTCTACTGTCCATATAAAATGCAGGTTCGGAAGGTACCGGGAGAGTCTGATAATAGCTATTAAGTATGAGTGTAACAGCAGCCATGGTTGGTCTGTTAGCTAAATTTTCTTGAACACAGAGTAAACCAATGTGGATGCATCTCATCATCTCATTTTCCGAACTGTTGTTTAATGATGGATCTACAATATTTGTAGCGGTCCCCTCCCTCCAGTTTCTCCATGCCTGCAAGAATTTTATCAATTGCACATACCATTAGGTAACGGATTCCATTTCTACATTAATATTTAGGAGCACGTTATTTTCTAAACCATACTTTTAATGGCATGGAAGATATATAATAGTGAGAAAAGGAATGCTTACAAAGCTCAGTAGATCCTCTACCCTCTCCCCGTTGTGAAGGCTGCTATTTTTCTGGCCACTAACAATCTCAAGAGTCAGTACACCAAAACTAAAAACATCTGATTTCACTGAAAATTGTCCATGCATTGCATACTCTGGTGCCATATATCCACTACATAACAATATGGACAAAATTAGTCATAAATGCCATGAGTTTTTTCACTCTGTTTCAGTTGGCAAGGCCAATGATGTTACTAACGAAGCTTTAATTTTGATTTGCTATCATGGTGCTTGACTCTTACAATATCTTTTTAAAATGTCAAAATCTTTTAATAACATATCAATATATGAATGACTAAAATGTTAAAACTTTTATAACAATTAATATGCTCTAGCATATTGTAATAATACTTACTAAGTTCCAACGATTCTACTTGTACTTCCTCCTGTTTGATCCACAACAAACAGTCTTGCCAAGCCAAAATCTGATATCTTAGGATTCATCTCTTCATCTAAGAGAATGTTGCTAGCTTTGAGATCTCGATGTATAATGCGTAGTTGTGAATCTTGATGAAGGTAAAGAAGACCTCGAGCAATGCCTACAATGATTTTGTAGCGCCTTTCCCAATTCAATTGTGCTTTCTTGGTTGGATCTACATATTTACCCAAGCCATATGAATTTTAAAGCTATATTAATTAGGATTTAGTCTTTGTAATATTTGTCTTGAACTAGAATTGAACTAAGTGTAATAGTCTAGTTGTAATTATGCAGGCATTCAAACCTACCAAATATGAAGTAATCAAGGCTTTTATTTGGAACAAATTCATAGGTAAGTAGCCTTTCTCTTCCTTCCAGACAGTAACCAAGTAGTCTAACTAAATTTCGGTGCTGAAGCTTTGCCAATAAAAGCACTTCATTCTTAAATTCCGTATCTCCTTGGCCGGAATCTCTTGACAACCTTTTGACAGCAATCACTTGTCCATTAGAGAACCTACCCTGAAAATATATCACAGTCAGGTACAATAAATCATTTATATGCCAAGTATCTCGGTATACCATGTTTTGATGAACAGGTGGTATTTATCAGAATGAATTGGTATTATCTTACCCTGTAAACAGCTCCAAATCCACCTTGTCCAAGTTTGTTAGAATCTGAGAAGTCGTTTGTAGCAACTCGTATGGTATCAAAGTTGAATTGCAATGACTCATTGGTTATAATTTCATCATCATTAACTTCAGCTTCACGTGGGGAACGAGTTAAACAAGTGAGTTTTTCAAGCGATAAGTGCAGCCGAAATAGGAAAAGTGATATAATTTTTTAATGTGAAACCGGAAATAAATTATTTTTGATTCCCCCTGTTCTCCTTCCATATTCCTAGGAGTGGTTGAGTAATGCATACTTTGAACCATTATATATTTTTTTTTCTGAGAAATAAATTAACGTATCTTGCATTATTTAATAGAAGGAATCCTTATCCTGTAACACTAATGTTATGATGAATAGTACACTCGACACTACTGTTTATAATAAGTGACGGTAAATCCATGCGTAGAGAGAGTTTCAGACTTACTTTCAAAATATTTCCTTGGCTTCCTCATTCTTAAATAGATGCAGATAAAACTTAGGACCAAAACAACAACACCAACAACCGGCACAGCTATGACGATGGCAGTTCGTGATGTGTTGCTCTTTCCTGCACAAAACGGACGGTTCATGTATTAATATTAGGAAAATATCAGTAATTTCAACAGCTAAAAACATATAAGAGATCACTACGCCGGCATAAACGAAAACGCACTATAGCCAACGGCACAGGGACAATAATCAATTGTACCATTCCCAATGAAAGACGTGCTCCATGTAAATGTATAGTATCCTTTCGGTTATAAAAATATAATATAAAATCAACACCCCAAGGTAACTCGCTTAGCAACTGAGCTCCCAGGTTTGCTTGAGTCAGTGATTCAAATCCTGCATTAAACAAATTTTTGAAAAATCTTTGAGAGCAGAGAGGACGTGTCTTCCTCTTCGAGTAGAAGATTAGTCTCATCCTTCAAATAAGATCGACCTGAACAGTTTTCAACTGAATCGAACCATTTAAATCAATTCGGTTCAATTTTTCTAAAAATTCTGTTCGGTTTCAACATCCCTACCTTCAGATTATTGAAATCTATAATGTGTTGTTGAGCTAATAATTTAAACTTTTGGATTAAAATAATTAATTTATAGAGTATTTGAGCCTTGAGAAGAAATAGTCACGAGTTCCTCAGGATAGCTAGATCGAGCTATGTATTGTCGACCCTGTAAAACTATTAACACCGCTTGAAAATGGTTGCTTTACAGTTTCACTTATCAATGATAACTTAGTTCATTCAACTCCCGTATTCAGCAACTAAGCACAACATGACAATTACCTTGTGAGGACGGTGAAGGTGTGGGATCGTAAAAGCCATAGGTTTCGTATCTAATATTACAACTGGGTGCAATAACTCTAACACCACTTCTAGCATTGCAACACTTTGGGATTTCCGAGATAGCCCCATCCAAGCAGCCATTGCAGGCTTCCCATGACAAATCAGGCGTGCACTGCACAAGACCATATATGGTTTGAAAAGTTGAAACAGTTGCATTATCCGCAGCATACTTACGACGAGAGTCACCTGATGCAGCTGCGCCTTTTAGATTCCTCATCAAGTTAAACAGCACTTGATTGAACTGATCCACATCCGTTGCATTGTTTAAGTCCCACATATAATCTAAAGGAAGTAAAGTTTCCACGACGCCAAATATTGAGCGGTTCGAGTAGCGCAACATGCACTTGTCAAACCACACATATGCCTCTTTCTGGTTCGGACAAAGCTGTGTGAGACTGACTCTGGAATCGTTGAGGCAACTGCGGCATGCATCTGGTTTAACATCTCCTCTGCACAGTCCAATGGCGTTTACTTTGTCAATGTTTTGGCCATATGAGAAATTGTAGAAACCATAGTCGATTTCTGTGTTGGAAGTGAGATTGGGTAAAAGGGTGTTGAGGTTGGTCTGATATGTGCTATTGGCTGTGTAGTTGCCTTTCTCATTGACGCAGATGCGAGATAGAGGACTTGACTGGGCGCTGGTTTGAGATATGATCATGAAAAGGAGACAACAAAGAAAGGAAAACAACCTGCAAGAAACTGTTGCCATTATGATTAATTGTCCTCTCACTCTGATCAGATTAACGAACCGAAGATTGAAGCTTTACTTATGAAAGAGCTTCAGTACAGAAGAGGGTGTTGCTGTCACTTTAAATTCAACCCATCTGTTGATTTTTCAATCTGTGAACTTATTGATATAGACCCCAGCTAACACGATTAGTCCGCTCACATACTAAATAAAATATAACCCCGAAAGGTAGCTCAGTTGGCAGTTTCTTGGAAAATCTTTGGTAGTCTATTCTTTTTTCCGGTTGCGAAACTTAGTGCACTTACTGTTGAATGGGGATATCTCCTGGCAATGTACCCAAAAAAAATAAATATAAACAGGCAGTATTCAATTGAGGCGGCCATCCATATATTGGATTTTATACAATGATATCATAAGCTAGCATCCATATCCCTCTTCACTTCAATAGTTACTTTTGGAAACTCGTCTATGATGAAAAGGAGCAAAGAATCAAAGTGTGATATGACCGTTCAACTAATTATTTTTAATATTCTAAGCCGACAAAGCAATTAATTGAAACCCACTTTTTATTTTAGAACAAAGATCATTTTGAATTCTTAAAAGAAAATATGATCTCTATTTTAGTTTCTTATAAAAAAAAATTTAATTTCAAAGTCCTTAAGAAATTGAAAGTGAACATATTTAGTTGAAATCGTAATTTTTATAAATTCAAAAAAAATTTACATTAGTCTCTCAAAATAACTAAAATAAATTTACTTTAAATTTTATAGGAACCAAGAGACTAATATTTTTTTATAAGAAACTAAAATAAGAATTATATTTTTTTATTAGGGACTCAAAAGAGGCTTTACTATTTATTTTATCATTTCAAGTAATATGGTTTCTCAACACTTTACTCTTGAACTTTTTATTTTTGATAGGCGTCACTACTAGAAACTGTTTTTTTTTCGACGGAAAAATTTTGTCAAAAATAGTTAAAATTCCGTCGAAAATATTGTTTTCGACGGAATTTTCGACGGAAATGAAGCCGTCGAATATATCTTCGTGGGTAACACTTTTTTCGACAGAATTACAGATTCCGTCGAAAAATTTCGACGGAATAATTTCTGTGGGAAGTTTCAACGGAAAAATAATTCCGTCGAAAATTTTCGACGGAAAATGAATGAATTTCCGTCAAAAAATCTTGTCTCAATTTGTGACGGAAAATAAATTCCGTCAAAAATTTTCGACGAAAAATGAATGAAATTCCGTCGAAAATTGTTGTAATGGTTTACGAGGGACAACTGATTCCGTCAAAATTTTTCGACGAAAAATCAAAGAAATTCCGCCGAAAATTGTTGTAATGGTTTTTGACGGAAAACTGATTCCGTCAAAAAGTTTTGACAGAAAATCAATGAAATTCCGTCGAAAAATCTTGTATTAGTTTTCGACGAAAAACAAATTCCGTTGAAATTTTTTGACAGGAAATGAATAAAATTCCGTCAAAAAATTTTGTAATCATTTTTTACAAAAAATGAATTAAATTCTATCAAAAACTATTGCCTTAATTTTCAACAAAATTGTTTTTTTGTCAAATTTTATTTTAATTTTGCTGTACAAAATTAATACCTACTTATCTTTTGCACCTGATTAACAAATATAAAGAAAGTAAATAATATATCAAATTCATATTGATCTTAATATAATTATGTGTACAAAAGTCTCTGTTATATATTAATGAAAAAAGTCTATGTCCATGTCATATACATCCAAACAAGATACAAAAATCATGTTTTGCAGCCCTTTTCTGTTGTTGTGGAGCCCTCTTCTATTGTTGTGCAGCCCTTTCCTCTTGTTGTGCAACTGTACCTGTTGTAGGCATGTAAAATATTAAAACACAAATAATTGGAAAAGCACAACAAATCTAACATAATATATAATCCGAAGTTATACAACCAACCAAAAATACTTACTCATATTTTCCAATGGCTTCTTCAAGTTAACAATTTACTGCTGCAAATGTCATATCAATGGTCTACAGATAAAAATTGTAGATATAAGCTTGTGGTTACAAAAACAAAATTTATCAAGTACTCTGATATTCCCCAACATGCATTTAAATACAACCAAAAATGAACATAAGAAACAGAGGGGAAAAAAGAAGGAAAAGAGGCCAACAATAATTCATTTGTAATATATATATATATATATATATATATATATATATATATATATATATATATATATATAGATTTACAATGTAAAGAATCAAAGATAAAATCGAAAACCTTCACAAAATCAATTTCTTTTCCATTTAGTTTATTCATCCGTTTTCGACGGAATTCGTTTTCCGTCGAAAACCCTCACAAAATCAATTTCTTTTCCATTTATTTTATTCATCCGTTTTCGACGGAATTCGTTTTCCGTCGTAAACCCTCACACAATCAATTTCTTTTCCATTTATTTTATTCATCCGTTTTCGACGGAATTCGTTTTCCGTCAAAAATCTTCGACGGAATTCATTTTCCGTCGAAAACCTTCACAAAATCAATTTCTTTTCCATTTATTTTATTCATCCGTTTTCGACGGAATTCGTTTTCCGTCGAAAACCCTCACAAAATCAATTTCTTTTCCATTTATTTTTTTCATCCGTTTTCGACGAAATTCGTTTTCCGTCAAAAATCTTCGACGGAATTCGTTTTCCGTCGAAAACCTTCACAAAATCAATTTCTTTTCCATTTATTTTATTCATCCGTTTTCGACGGAATTCGTTTTCCGTTCAAAATCTTCGACGGAATCCATTTTCCATCGAAAACCTTCCCAAAATCAATTTCTTTTCCATTTATTTTATTCATCCGTTTTCGACGGAATTCATCCGTTTTCGACGGAATTCGTTTTCCGTCGAAAACCCTCACAAAATCAATTTCTTTTCCATTTATTATATTCATCCATTTTCGACAGAATTCTTTTTCCGTCAAAAATCTTCGACGGAATCAATTTTCCGTCGAAAACCTTCACAAAATCAATTTCTTTTCCATTTATTTTATTCATCCGTTTTCGACGGAATTCATTTTCCGTCGAAAACCCTCACAAAATCAATTTCTTTTCCATTTATTTTATTCATCCGTTTTCGACGGAATTCTTTTTCCGTCAAAAATCTTCGACGGAATCCATTTTCCGTCGAAAACCTTCACAAAATCAATTTCTTTTCCATTTATTTTATTCATCCGTTTTCGACGGAATTCTTTTTCCGTCGAAAACCCTCACAAAATCAATTTTTTTTCCATTTATTTTATTCATCCGTTTTTGACGGAATTCTTTTTCCGTCAAAAATCTTCGACGGAATTCATTTTCCGTCGTAAATCTTCACAAAATCAATTTCTTTTTCATTTAGTTTATTCAACCATTTTCGACGGAATTCTTTTTCCGTCAAAAATCTTCGACGGATTGCATTTTTCGTCGAAAACCTTCACAAAAAAATTTCTTTTCCAAATTATTTTATTAATCCATTTTCGACGGAATTCATTTTCCGTCTAATATCTTTGACGGAATCCATTTTCCGTGGAAAAAGTTTCGACGGAATCAATTTTCCGTCGAAAGTTTTTGACGAAATCTGTTTTCCGTCAAAAAAATTCAACGATAAACGAATTCTGTTGAAAATTCTGTCAGTAATTGTCACAGAATTTTTTTCCGTCGAAAAATTCCGTCGAAAATAATGACTTTTCAGTAGTGCGTACGTGGCTTTTCATATTTTCAAATTTCATGTATCTCCGAGGCATTTTTAATCTTTGTTATTCCCAATATACCAATTCTTCCTTAGCTATTTAAACTTTGGTTAAATGAAAATTGACTTTTCAGTTCAGAGGAAAAATAAAGTATAAAGTATAATTTATATACAAAAAAAAAGTATAAAGTATAATCATATAAGCCTTTAAATTTTCCCGCTTCCATATTTTCTCAATAGTGTTACTTCATCATCTCTTCATATTTTTCATAAGAACTTTGTTACTTTACTGTCTCTTCATCTCTTTCACAATAACTTCATCATCTCCGACCTCACTATGTCTATTACTTGATTACAACAGTTCCAATAACTCCCATTCCAGCAACCGTGATTGCTCTTGCCTAAATAAGACACAAGAACACCTAATATGGGCAAGACAACTCACGCCTAATTTAGGTGTGTTTCATGAGGCATTGACGCCTTATTTGGACACGACTGAGTACAATAGATCTTTAAATTAGTTTCAAAATATTAGGTTTTCTTAATTTTTTATTTAAATAGTAATATTTCAAGTTTTTTGCCCAAAATTTTATCTATTGATATATTTTTGTGCATGCTTTGATTAGAAATGTGAGTAAAATTAAATTTTGAAATCAAGGAATCTTTAGATTTAGAGTCCTTTTTCTCTCGTGTTGTTGCAAAAAAATCTTCTTATGTCATCCATTACAATTATGTACTCTGTTGGAAAAATTATCTTTAGAATATCTTTATTATTTGTAAATATCTATTTTCTTATTTAATTAGGATTTATGTTAGGTCTGGATTAAGCCTATTAGTGTTTCTTTATATATTGTACTCTCCTGAATCAATTCAATGCACATAATTATTTTAATGTTCCGTTCGTCTCTTGTTATTCTACATGGTACTTAGAGCCTAACTAGAGGAATCATTGTCCGCCTTTTTTTTTTCCTATAATTTTAATATGGTAGTAGAGACATATCACCCACCGTGAGGAATTGGTTTTCCCATATGTTCCCTTTCTCTCTATGCTTCTCTTAGTTTCTTCTTCCCGTTCCTGTCTTCCATCGAAGATCCAACCACCATAAACATCTAGGACCGGCCAGAACCATCTCTTCCTCTGCACAACAGCAGTTCTCGTCGTCCCTATTCATCCAGTCACCGCCACAATCCACCACCAGAATTTTGTCCAAAGACTTTTCGGCTGCCAACCACCACCCCGTACACTTATCGTCGTTCAAGCTGCACCTCCAACAACCGCCGCATGCGCTCTCACGCGCCGGCAAGGAGCCACGCATTTTTCTGCAAAGC